ATTTTTTTTAATCCTCACTAATTTTAGGGATACAAGGTTCAGGAAAAGCAAACATAAGGCATTTCAGTTACAAAGATATATATAGGTACACACACACAAACTTGTTTTGAAGCCTTTTTAAACCCCTGGTGCCAGGGATACCATGATCCTGCTATGGCTGATGTTTGTGTGCTATTAAAAAACATGTTGTAGAACAACAGGACTGAACTTCATGTTTATCCATATGTGAATTTAATTTTTTCATATTTGCAACCTCAAATAATCACTCATATGACTATTTTTGGTAAGGGTGGGCATCACAGTCACAGCTTCTTCAGAACAGAACCTTTGTCATACCCACTTATGCAAGAGTCCTACAATTTATGAAGAAATAGGATTTTCAGGACTATATTCAACAGTTAGGCCTACACCAACATTGTGAAAAGTCTACTTCCAGGTAATTTGGCTGACATTGTGCCAAAAAATGAGGAAAAAAAGAGACAAAAAAATCAGTTGCAGAGCTGCTAAACCCGTTCCACTGACTTCCCTGTTCTAATCCCAGGGAAAATACTTCCTCCCAGAAAAGATGTTATGTGGGTGTGCTTGAAAACATCTGAGACTCTCAAGGAACACATTCTTTTTCTGGCATACACTGAAACATTTCTAAAAGTGACAAATGACAGTTTCACAGCCACCTATCCAAATTTAAATGGAAAACAGAACAATCCTTTCTCAAACAGACATAGGCCAAGTTGTCCTAACTCTCCTTGAGCTTCAGGGCCTGTCATTTAAAAACAGGACAAGAAAACATCATCTCCCCTTTATTCTACTGTACCAGTCATCTCCTGCTGGTTTCCTGCTAATAGAGCTCTTCCCCCTACCCTTCCAGGGACATTACATTAGTCACACATCATTTTCCCTAGATCCTGGGCCACCAGAACAAAAACACAGAATGTAATACATTCATTTACAAGAAAGGCCTTACTGTTCTCTTTCATTTTGTGTAAAGGCCCTAACTGATCATTTCCCCCGCTTTCAGCAGAGAAAGGCGAGAGATTTTTAGTCTAGCACATCTTTCACAGCATTCTGTGAGTCTCTGGAAAACACTTTTTGGTTAAGAGCTAAACAGAAATTCTATATAGAATCCCCTTTCCTGTTTGGTTTTTTGTTTTGTTTTGTTTTTATAAATCTAAAAAATAATCGGAAACGCAAAATAAAGCATTAGACCAAAGCTTGCACTGGTTTTGAAGGCATCTTTAGAAACTCTAGCAGATATAGTAGAAGACTGCACCTTTTCCAAATAATCATATTTGATAGTAGCAGAAGCCAATACTTCATCCATGAATTTCACGGTTAAATAAAACAGCAAACCCAGAAATACTGCAGTTTTTAAGGCACTGTGGGAAATAAAACCCAGCTGATTTCCATAATTAAACTCTTAATATGCCCCATAGAAAAGTTTATTCAAACATATGGAATTGCACAGCATACACATAGCACCTCAGGATATCTGCACACCACTGACTAACCTCTATAAAATTATGTCTTAGCAAATACAGCTACCAGTAAAATCACGAAGCAAAGCCAAGAACAACTCAACATGCCAGATATATATTCTGACATGACTGGCCCTGCTGCTCCAGAACAAACCACATTAAGAAAGCTGTGTTCTCACAGTCACAGGTCTGCCTCCCTTGAACCTGGCAGTGAAAAGGGATTTGCAAGGCTAACCTCAGAAACCAGAGGGATACTAAGGTGCAGAAACCTACAGTTTAATGACTGGCAGTCACAGACAGACCACTAGGATCTGCACTATACTTGGACTAACAGGCTCCAGGACTCAACTTCTAGAAATAAATACACACACTCTCTCTTTATAAATATATACATATATATTTTTCATAGCTGTAGCCACAGGTTTCTAAAATAAGCATTGGTTTCAAAAAAACTGTCCTTTTCAATAGAGTATTTTTTAAAAACACTGAAGAACACTGTACAGAAAAAGGCAACAGGAAAAAAAAGAAAAATGACAAATGTAAATGGTGTGTGAAAAAAAATATGACAGACAAGTAAAGGCAGCAAGGAAAATACCACTGATAGATAGAGGCAAGGTAAGAAGTGAGCCTGGTACCTAGCAACAAAGTGATATACTCAGATTTGCTGCTAAGATTTCAAAAATTCGGCATCTAACTCTGTAAAATACAGTAGAAGAGTGTGAAATGATTCAAGTGGAAAATAGAATATAAACAACATTCAATGAAACAGAAGTTTGGAAGGCCTAGAATTCAACTGAAATCCATAAAACATACTTACATTATTCTTCTGGCAAATAATTTCCTGGAATAAAAAAGAAAAGAAAAGAATGTTGATAGCACTAAACCACTACTAGGAAAGATATTAACTCCACAGACACGTGACAGGAAAAGGCTGGTTGGTGGATATTTTCTATGCCTATCAAATCAATATAAATGAAGCATTGTCTCAGGAGAGACAAAATTACTATAGAACTAAGTAGACACATACATCTTATACATACGTAAGAGCATACATACTGTGTGTGCTTGTGTATATACACATACATGCATATCCCTCCCTTAATAAATTTTCCTAGAGGGATGCTGCCCAAAAGTTGACTATTAATAAAGAACTATTCATATTTGAGAAGTCAAATATAGTAAGTAACATTTTGCTACCAGCAGAAGAAATTGAATAGTAAGAGCAGTATTTCTATGAGGTTTTTAAAATACTCCAAAACTGCTTGAAATTCACTTGACTCTAATAAGTCTGATGCAAAGAGAATCTTCACATTTTAAATGTAAAGCTTCAGAGAACTAGAAGCACACAGAGATGGAAGGGGCTGATTCCTGCACACTAATCTGAATGGTACGGCACAAGTGAAAACCACTTCTGAACAGTGACCTTGATTCCAGCAAGATTTGTCAGCAAATTCTGATCTCAGCAATCGATAACCCTAACAGATTTACCAGACAGCTATGCTATACCTCTGCCACTGGCACTGCTGAGCAGCTTCACCTACATCACAGCCTTAAAACCAAATGCAGCATCAAACCAAGGTGCCTTATACTTTCCATGTTGCTTAAGTCAGGCTTTCATATAAAACTGCTCTTCTCCCTGTTAAGAGGGCATGTTTCACATCTGACTGTTGCTAGCTTCCGAACTGTAGGTCATAAATGGCTAGTCAAATCCCCCAGCACAGGCAGGGACGTCTTTCACTAAATCAGGTTGATCAAGGCCCTGTCCAGGCCTGAATGTTTATGTAGAGGAACATTCCACCAGCAGCAGTTTACCTGCATTGCTTTGTGTCCTGGTTAAATCATGTGCCGCAGTTCTGGATTTCCTTCATTTTCAGTTTTTGAATTCACCCCTTCCATGCAAGATTAAACCTACACATGCTCTCCTCCATTGCTTCTACTCTTATCTGCTGGCTGTAATAAATACTGCAACGAACACGGTCTCAGAAGATGCCCAGGCATGCCCATCACAACTTTTTTTCAGGCAGTTACTAAATCATTTGGGAAGAGACATGCTCTTTGACAACTTCCCTGCAGACTATCAAAAGCAGAAACATGGGGCCAGTTCAAAGCTCAAGGAAACTGAATGCCATTTTTCAGTGGGCAAAGTACTGGTGGCAACTGTGACATCCAAGTCTCCCTGCACAGAGCTGGGCTTCCACTGACCTCAGTGAGAATCCAGCATGTGACCCATTTGCAAAGTCCAGCAGAAGTCCTTCCAATTGCTCAAGAGGGCCTGGGGCCTCACCCCAAGTGATTTTCAGTGGGAGCTGGGTATTTGGCTCTTTGTCCAGTACAATGAAATTCTGCTCTGCTTATACAGTAGATCATTGTACATCCATAATTGAATTCAATTCCCAGACATGTCTTTTATCATTAGCAGTTTTATTTTTAGGGCTTTTATCTGCATACTCTTTGTGTTGCAAAAAGAAAGGAAATAATTGGATTGCAAGCAGTCCAGCTGGCTGAGAATATTTGGAGGGAAGAGAAAGGAGAAAAAAACTGAGTTACTGAGTATGTCCCTCCCAATAAGGGCCAAGCTGCAAATAATGGGACAGAATCAAAACCAAATAGCTTGCATTAGCCAGAAGCAGTGGAGGCAAACCCTTCATGAGAGGCGGTGGTGCCCAGACTGCAGTCTGACTCACCAAGCTGCTTACTTTAAATGGCTCTTTTCAGCAATGCCTAGAACGGAAGTGCAATAGCATAAAACACCTCCTGAGCAAAGCCAATGAATCTGGGGGAGGTGAAGTCATTGAAAAGACTGCCACCCAAGTTGTCTCTCCCATCACGGAAGTAATTAAACCTTTAGGAGTGTTGCAGGAGGAAGCAAGTACCAACTCCCTGACTGACACAATTCCCAGACCTATAGATTATCTTCCAACACCCTCTTGCCTTAAACCAATGTACTGTACTGTGAACTGAGACACGAGTTTTGTTTTTACTAACTCCACTACACTGGTGGTAATCTCCAGCACAGCTATCCTGCAGGTACCTGATGTAAACAGCTGTAACTCAGCAAGACATACCACAGGCCATCTGGGGCCCCATACGGTTTGGCAGAAAACTGCTACTTTAGACAGGAGCTAAAGCTTAAGGATTATTTTGCTGCCTACACACTATCATTCTCACACAATTGTTATTACTGTAACAGTTTACCCCAAACACCAGTAACTCCCTTGAATGACAAAGCCATGTATTTAATTTCTCATCTCAAACTTGACAAAATTCTGTTTCTGTAAACAGCCATTTAACACCTCAGTATTTAACTGACTGTGCTAAAGCCACCTAAATCTTTCTCTTTGGAAAACCAAACCGAGTTTTACAGCATTTCACTGTGGACATCTTTGCCAGACCTCAGGATACTTTTGCTATTCTTTTGTGAACCACAAGTGACATCTGCATTTCTTACAGAAACAGAGAACCTATTTCAAGAGTTAGACCAGCTGTGACTTGCCCCTCAGCCCCCATTTTTCCATTGAGAGCTACCTTCAGTGACTGCAGAGACTCTGCATTTGTGTCACAGTAGAGAATGATGTTGTTAGCCATGCTGAAGCTCTCCCTGACTCCCAGGTGGTAGAACAGGGAAGGCTGACGGAAGGCATCACTCATCTCTACAACAGCAATATCTGCAGAAAGAAATGAAAAAATTATTGTCAGTGTCACACATTTCTGACAGTCAAATACTTCTAGGCCACATCTCTTCACACAATTTGCATTGATAAGAAGACTTGATTTGAAGTAGGAAATAACAGATCTAGAGGGATTTCCCCATTTTAGTGCTTATGCCCGAATTTTGAATATAGGCAGCAGGATGTGGCTTAGTTTTTCTCTGTTTCATTATTCCTCCTCCTTTTTTTTTTTTTTTTTTTACTTTAAATGAGACCTTTAAAAGCAGAAAACCACTAAATCAAGAAAAGGCAAAAAGTTCATTTGGTGTCTTGAAAAATAAAATCCATTTGGCAAATCTATACATGATGACTGATGACATGGGGAAAAACATAAAATTACATTTGATGTGTTTTTTCACCCTCTGTGCTAGTTGCAATAAAGAATTCATGTAATCTATGTACATTGCTGCAGAAGTGCTGTATAGATTCTGTACTAGAACTTGAAAGAAAATAAATTGAAAGAAAAGTAAAGTTCCAATATAAATAACCATTCAGATCTATTTTGCTTCATAGAGAAAAATGAGAGAGAGAATAAGAAAAGGACAAGGTACAGCAGAAAAGAAAGACAGAGTGAATATGCAAAGCCATAGAATCCTCCCATATAAGTGAGAACTTTACTGTGCATAGAATTCTGTTCATAATAAATTTTACCTGTATGAATAAACTTAAGCACATGCAAAAATGCCTACAGCACAAGGAATGTAGTCTACAATTTCTCTTAAACCACGTGTTCTGCTTGCCCAGACTCACATCAATGTGGGAGTGTAACAAGAGGCAATTAACTACTTCCCCTGACTCTTTGTAAGGACTTCTGTTGGAACCAGCAGCATATTTCCACTGCAAAAGTCTTGTAGAATCAAGAGAGCAAAACTACCTCTTCGCATAAATACCTTTCTGTCTTTTCACCCAATTCATTTTTTTTCTTATCTTTCAGGGAAAAAAAACCAACCAAAACCCAACATCAAACCCAAACCAGAGAAATACATTTCTGTTAAGAGTAGAACAAAAAAAGCAGCTTGGTTTCCAGCATCTGTCTGTGGGAGAATTTCTGATTGCTAACGGACATGTGAGCAATCCAGCCTTGCTAGCAGGGCCTGAGCAAGCTGCAAGCTAAGCTGTTCAGGGACACAGCTGCAGCTGGAATGTGAGAAAGGAGGTAGCAAGATAAGCAGCTCCTGGGTGTGAGATGCAGAAGCTGAAGATGGTTAGAGGTGGAGAACACATATTGGGGCATTTTATGATTGATATGTTAATAACCAGTTATGTTGTGTGTAAGGTGGGCTAGTAATAGTAGTTAACCAATGATAGGTGGGCACTTACAATAGTGTGTATAAAAGAATCACTTTTGTAAATAATAAAAGTCAGTCACAAGATAATAATGGTGTCGCCTCTTTGTACATGAACTCCCACATCTCTCTATGCTTTCTCCTTCCTGTGGATGCTTTTATGACTGAAGAGACAGACAGCAAGACAAGCTCTGTAGGACAAAGCTTACATACCTTCAAATTTCTCTACACTGATAACTCTAACAAGAGATTCTACCTCTAACCACAACTTTTCACCTTGCCTATTTACTTAGATCATCAAAACTGAAATGAAGATATTCAGTGAAAGATAAGCCTTCTGGCCATGCTCTAAACTGCGACGCAGTAAAAGTGTCACTCCAACTTGCTGAAAAGTAATACCTTTGAGACATCTACTCTTCAGTCACACTTTACTGTAACTGGCCTAAAGGCTTATAAATTATTAAAAAGCTGAAGAAAGGATACATACACCCAGGGGAAAGAACAAATATTTGCCTATACAAGCGTCAAGAAACAACATTAAAAGAGAGGATACTAGCATGGTATAAAAAAGGGAGCTTTTTCCCCCTCAAAAATGTAGTATTACATTATGTTTTCTAAAAGTTTCAAAATTTGTGTTCTCATAATCTCCCTCTGTCCAATTTACATAAATATCTGAAGTGTGGATTCCATAAAATGTGACTGAAGCAAAAAAGGCAGTGCACTGCCAAGACCACACACACACACACTCACTTAAATTTTTAGTAAACTGAAACATCACAAAAGCCAAACAAGAATAACAATATTGCTACTATATTTAGTTTGGGAGAGATTAGGGTTTGTTTAGTTTCTTCAGAAAGTTGCCATAACACAAGTTCTATTTTTAACTACTGTTATTCACATTAAAGTCTAATCTTGAGCAACTCTATGGTACATATCTGTTACACTGAGCAGGAGGAAAATTTACACAACTTGCCATGACTTAATTCTGCAATCCTGCATGATAACGTGCTCTCAACAGAGTTGCAAAACTAAGATTAAAAGAGAAACATTACTTTACCAACAAAGCATGAACAAAGTCATACTGCAGAAAATGACTGAAAAATCCTATGTTAAAATGGCAAGGATCATGAAGAAGGAAAGAATAACTCAAAAAATATTATATGTCTGTATTATATATATTACCATCAAGACCAGCTGGCCAAATCCACTGAACACAATCTGACCTAGGGTCACACTGTAAGAAACATTCTTGGGTCCTGTCCCATCCCTATCATAGTAATAATACAATTTGGAAAAAAAACAAACCCAACCCAAACCAAAAAAAACCTTGAGTTACTTAAATAGAGGAGGGAAGGACCACAAGCATAAAGAAACATCTGGTGAAAAACTGCACTGAGATACTGTGCAAAAACATACACCCTAAAACAGCTCTTCTGACAGACCTATTTCTGACTATTTTGTTTTACAACATCAGGAAAGAACCTACTCTGACCAAAGGAGGGATCAGTGTAGGAAGCACTGGTCAGAAGTTCAGAAGTCAAATGCAATGCAGCAAATGGAAGCTTATTAAAACAAGTTAAGGCAACAAAAAACCCCAAACAAACAAAAAAACCCCATCACAAAACCATTGCTATAAAATGCCTGAAATGTACCACCAAGTGCACTGTAAAGCAGCCAAACAGTATGTTCAGTTACATAAAATATGATCACAAGTTTAGCAAAGATGAGCAAGTCTGTTGGTTTTCAAGACAAATCGAAGTTAAGTATACACACATCAAAATTGTCACTAGTTCAGAGCCAGGATTTAGCTAAGCCTAAAAGAATTCTTTGGTCATCAATACTAAAACTGCCAGAATCCCATTTATCAGGCTCTCACTCTCATTTCCCCCAGATGAAATTAATCTATCATCCTGCCTCAATAAGGTATGTCTTCCATTCACTGGAAAACAGCTTCATAAGTGGTAAAATGTTATTTCAATAAAGGTGGAGAAATTATCACTGGAATAAAACCCACTTATCAAACAGTTGCAGTTTCAGTTTCAAGGGAAATAAAAATGGACCAAATACAGTAATCAGAGTAGAACCCTCTCAACACCGAAGCCCTCAGGACAAAGCACTCTGAAGACGAGGGACTTAAAATGCTTTTGCACATCTTTGATGGTGCAGCAAAGAAAGTCTGTCCAGGCTCCAGCAGACTAATGAGCAGGGTGGGTATGGAAGCACACTGCATAAAACCAGGAGGAAAAGACAGAAAAGTGGAAGAACTTCAATTCTTGCAACACTGCAAGTTGCAGGAAAGTATAAATTTTACCCCTTATTTTGGTCTGGGGCACAAGATTAAATTTTGCTTCCTCTGCCTCATGAAAGTAGACCTGGCTACAGATCACCAATACTATTTTAATAAAACAGGGATAGTATGGCCTTTGCCAGTCATCTTTGACATTATGGCTAAAAAGTCTTACAATAAATCTTGCAGTAAATTATTATATCTTTCTAATTTATGAAGAATAATATAGGTCTCCTTAAAGAACCGGCATGCTAAATAGATGGGACAAGTGTATGATGAGCATGAGACTAGAGCGTCACTCTGGCCAAGGTAGCAGAAGCAGCATAAATACAGCAGCAGGCAGTTCAGTAAGCTCTTGATGTCCATTTCCTAAATCACCCTGAGCTCTACTTGTCTGCTGGCAGCTACCAAGCAGCCTACCTACACATCAGCTGAGTAACCACATGCTGAGCCGCAGACATACCAACAACCACCAAGCAGTTGCAATCTATGTTATTAAGCCAACTAACATCTACACCAGTAATAGTATGAAACAACTTCACACATTCAAGAGAACAAAACACCACTACACTGAGAATCAGCTGCTTATTACTATGGGAAACCAGATTCACGGGATGGGGTTGGAGGCAGCCAACTAGACCTTTTTTTGCCTGAGAAGCAGGGAAAAGGACATATCCCTGTGAAGCTTGGCATATACTGTTACCAACAATTCTTACCTGCAGTGTAAATCCACATATCTGTTGCTAAGCTATCTGTGCAAAGATTGAGAATTTTACATATAAAATATCTACTCCTTAACCTTTCTTAAGAAACAGTAAAACCTTAACAGTATACACATTAACATGGTCAAAAAAGGGTAAGTGTCCATCAGTGGCTACAAAGCCCTTTGCTCTTGGCTATTAGCAATGCCTTTAGGCACAAAAAAAAAAAAAAAAAAAGAGATAAATGAAATGCAGTGGTCAAAGTTCATCTCCTACTCATTGTTTTAAATGTAACAGGCAAAGAGGAATGTTTACACAAATGCTCTGAGATATCATACACATACACCCTACTTTTTGATACTACTTGCTTACTACAGTTCTGCCAGGAAAAACAATGAATACAAACAGAGCAGCTATACATCTAATGAATGCTTATGTTTGCTATTATCTCCTGATTAATTGGTATTAAATATGTGGCCATTTGCCTTACATTCATTATCCCTCAATTAATCAGGGCAAAAGGAAAGATGATAATGGCAACTTCTGAGACAGACCAATATTTTGTGTTCTTTTCCACTTGAGGGTTAAAAGACAAAACACAATACTCTTCTGACAGAGACATGGGAAGCAAAGGGATTGGGACAAAATTCATTTCAGTGCAAGTCTGAATACCAAGCATATTTC